AGGCCACACCAGGCTGCTAAGGGGCCAGCCAACCCCATATACAAGAAATAGTTACATGTCTCAAGGTCTCTGGTGTAAAATACAGAGTATGTGGAACGTATCTATTCTGTATGTGCAAACCCCACTGAAGAACCTATCTCACTTGGCATGAAGTGAAGGGAGTGAGAATTGATGGTTGCCCAAGCTCTACTGAACAACTTGTCTTTGCCCCCTCCTGCAAATATTAAGTTGGCCCTTTCTTAAATTTTTGGAAGCTGGTTAAGAATTGCTCTTCTGCTGAGATTTCAAGGAGGAAAAGGGGATACAATGGGGCAATTGTATCTCATGCCAGTTTTTAGTTGTGTGATTTTTATTGCTGGTTGTGAATTGTTTTAATGGTGGTGGATTTGGATTATGAAACTCAGTCCTTTGATTGGGGCCACATATGAATTTTAGTAAATCAATACATTTCAAAAGGAATAGATCAGACAAAAGGTGAGGGGAGTAGTGGTATTAAATGAAAGTGCACATCTGTGTAGAGATCCAGCAATATGAGCACAAGGCCCCAAACAAGAGCACTGGGTAAGAATACAAGGAAGAGAAAGCAACAATGATATTAATATGGGAGTGTGCTACAGACACAGAAAATCTAGATAATGCCTTTCTGGACCAGATTAGAAAACTTTCAGGGAAATAAAACATGGTAGATTCAATTATCCACACTTTTGAAAAAACCCATATAGCCAAGACTGCAAAGTACCCAAAATTATTCAATGGTTTTGCTGACTTTAATTTTCCAGAAGGTTGAAAACAAAGGGACTGGCTTACCTAGATCTAATCCTAACCAGAAGGGAAGAGCTGGCTGAAGATGTGCATTCTTCAAAAATCTGACAGCTCTTTATAAGATGGGACAGACTTCAGTTTTATTCCAGAAGTTAAGTCAGTAAATGATGAGTTTAAATTAAATTCATTTTAAAGCAGACTTTGGTTGGACATCAGTTCCTAATAGTAAGAGCTGTTCAATAATGGAACAGATTGCCTAAGGTAGATTCTCCTTACTTGGAGACATTTAAACAATGATTGGATGGCCATCTCTTAGCAATGTTGTAGTAGTGCAATTCCTGCTCTGGACTGGAGTTTGGACTAAATGATCTCTAAGGTCTTTCTTACATTCTGTGTTTTCTCTAATGACTAATGTCCAAGAAAGAATGGCCTGCCAGAGAAACCACTCAGGTTGTTTTATAATACAGAAGGATGTGAGGAGAGATTGAGGGGAAAAATTGGTTAGCTTTCTTCTGCAAATAGTTTAGATTTAACAGCAGTTTATAGTATAAGAGATAAAATTTTAAGTTTAAATCTATCTACAGTTCTCATCCATGTTTCCTCCTCCTTAAAGGCATCTTAGGTTGGGCTCATACAGAATGCTAAGCCATAACATACTTTTGTTTGCCATTATGCAGGAACATGTAGCTCGCAAAGCAATAACTTACCTCTACTCTCTGCTTGTGGGTTTTGGATGCTTTTTTCAAGATTCGTTCTATTTGCTATAGAATAAAAAGAGAGTATTGGTTATTGTCATTCTGCCAAGGAACATTTTTGCTAGCTCTGTCCACATTCTATAGCACTTGATGCCTTTGCCTTTCACCCAAACTTTCTCTATAGTGGCCCTTTTTTCTCTCAGACACTGACCCGCTTTTCCTGCATCTTTTCATAGGCCAACTGTGCTGGGGTACGTTTATCCAGGGCCCGCTTCTTCTCCTCTTCTTCCTCCTGCTTCTTGCTGCTCACAATCTGGTCTACAATCTTGTTTCTTTCTTTGTCTTTCTTCTTCTTTCTAAAAAGAGCCAATTATCATAAAGCCCATTGTAAAATTCTTTCATAAAGCATGATATGAAAAAGAAGACAACTTTTTACATCTATATCTATACCCTGCTTTGTTTTTTATTTGGACTTTCTTGTTAGAGAAAAGAACACATTCAAGCAACAGCACAAAGAAACCCTGATCTGTATAGTGGAGATCAGGATTTTAAAACAGTTTGCTAGTTATGAATCACATCTCCACTTCTATTCTTAATTTTTGGGAGGGGGATTAAGTATTTTCAACCCACAATAAAACTGGAGCTTGACAGAGAAGGCATAACTACATGTTGGATTTCTGTGCTGTGTGAAATCAGTGCACAGCAGCCAAATCATTTTTCCCACAGACCCCACCAACTTTTCAGACGCATTGCCTCCTTGCCCCTTTAATGTGTGGGTGGCTATGCAAGACCAAGCCTTTCCAACAATGGGCCTTAAGTGCAGTTTCCTTTCGAGGCAGCCTCACCCTGCTTTCCCATAGCTGGTGAAGAGCTTTTGGGGCAACAGCCAAATTAATCGCTCCTCCTCCTGTCCTTCTCAGTGTTCTCTTGTTGCTGTGGTCGTGAGGACTCTTGTTTTGTTAGGCCTTCCTTAAGGAATCTCTTACAGATAACAGACTGTATGATTTCCTTTCGGCTAACGCCAAAAGAAGCCCTGCCTTCCCAAAAGAAAGAGTCTAGAACAATTAAAAACAAGAAGACTGAACAAAACAAGAGTCTCCGCGGCCGCCTCCAGATCAACTTCTGCCCTCGGAGGCTCCCCTCACCGTTTACCCGCAGACGCGTCGCCGGTGCCCCCCTTCAGACGGAGAGGGCCCCGCTGGACAGCTTCGTAGTCTGACATCCCCCCGCTCCTTTCAGCGCGTCAATATCCCCCTTCCTCTCTCTCAGGGCTACGGAGGAAAAGGCTACCAAACTATTTCCGGGTTAAAGGAACAACCACTAGAAACCTCGGAATGAGTAAGTGGGCGGGTCCCTAAGCCGGCGAACGGCTGTTCTACCCATAGAGAATTATGCTAGAGCGCCTTCAGAAGCGAATTGGGTTTCGCGATCGGCCAGATGAACGCTGTCAAGGGAAGCGAAAGAGAAACTTAGTGGAGCTGCGAGCAGGCCTGAGGGAGTCTTTGTATGAGATCGTAAGAGTCAGGGAGCCTGAGCTAAGATATGGAGCACAGAATGGTCTGATCTATTCTAAAACAGATGCCAAAACCTCTCCCGTTAATCAACAGGCAAATTAGACTGTTATTTTAAGGACTGCGACCGGAAGTACTCCTAGGTAACGGAGGGAGATCATTTTTTTGGTATTTTTTAAGCAGAAGTATTGGGAGAGAATATTAAATCTTTAGTATAATTAGTAATTTGTCCTTCATAGAAGGAAGTTGATACATCCTTTGCTGTATCTCTCCAAAAAAAAAGGTCCTGATTATCTTTGGACCAGCTTTCCCCATATTTAGGCTGTCAGAGATCAGGATCCTATTTTCTTAGATAACTTGCTGTTCATTTGAAGGCTGGGTTCAAAAAGGTCTGGACATCTATTCCTGAGGAAGGGAGTACAGGTTTCATCAAATAACTTACACATCCACTCCTCCGATACTGCCAGAGCTGTGTGGGAAAATGCATAGGAAGCAGATCTGGCCCTGTTGAAAATAGTTTCAGGCATGGAGGCCAAGAGCAGAAGTCTTGCAAGCAGATTGGCTCCAACATATAAGTGGGTCTCCCAGAGATACAGAAGTTATACTGGAATCCAGAATACATTGAAGACCAGTTGCAAGATCAGGTTTCTATTGTGGTAGTGTACGTGAACAGGGTCAATACTCAACACCGAGTTTGTGCTTGGGAATTTCAGCAGCACAATTCCCCCCAAAAAGGCTGATCACAAGTTACTTCCTCAAAGGAGAAAGCAACTATTTGTAAGTCAGACAAGAGTCTAATGCCAAAGAAGAATTGCAAGATTAGCACAGACAGGCCAAGGTGCATTAAGCAGAGTGAACTGGGGTTGTCAAACCTGCTGGGAACCTTTTTATGGTTGCAAGGGCTTGTAGTTCACAGCTACCCATTCCAAAATCAGACAAACATTTTGTCTAATAGTCAAATAATACTCTCCTTGCATCAATCTCCTGTACTTGAGAAGGAAGTCCAAGAAGAAAGGAATTTGACCTTTACACATAAGAACATACACTGATTTCTCTAAAAAAATAATTTATTTTTATTTTGAGACATTGTGCAACTTCTATCATGGGAGTGTGTAGAATGAGTGCCAAGAACAGACTAATTTGTTTTCCTGACTCCAAGAGGGAGGGTGAGTAATCTGCTACAAATGTCAGTGCTTCATTCAGTCTTACAGGCTACGCCCATAGTCCTTCACAGATTGGGAAGGCAGAGAAAAATCATTTAGAATTATCTTGATCATTACTTTTTCTACTAGCCATGATACAGTTAACAAACCACATCCCCAGAGAGAAAAAGAAAAGCCTGTTTCGAAATTTCCTGTATCTGATTTCTTGATCTACATGCCCCCACATTTATCACGTGGCAGCGGTGGTAGAAAGAGAGAATGCTTCTCTATCACAGAAGGGACAATCATGAAAAGGAGCCACTTTTCCCCATTGCATTAGACTGGTGTGGGATCAGATCCAGAGAAGAAAGAAGCCCATGCAAATGGGCAAGTCCAAAAGGGTTGAGCAGTAGCTCATGTTAAGGCCATGCCCCTCACAGAAGGGCACATCGGAAAAAACTGCTTTTCTTTGGCTGATCTGGGATGATCTTCATTCCTGGGCTATTGCCCTGAGGGCTATTGCCTTCCTAAAAAGGTAAAGAATGGCAAGATTCAGTTACTAGGAAAATTTAAAAGCCGTTTTCCTAAACTTAAAACCCATTAGCAAAGAGAATACAGTGGAAGTTCTATTCTACTACTGTAATACCAGTTATGCCAGCAGAACTAGCCAGAACTGATGAAATAATGCTGGGGTACTGTTGGAACATGCATATAATGTTAAGCTGACAGCGATGCTATGCAACAGAATATCCAAAAAGCAGCAGAATCACACACGGGATATAGGATAATTATACACAGTAATTATGAAATCAGTTGTACAAAGAAAAAAAGTAAAAAGACACATTGCTTCTGCACCTTCTTGGAATCACGAACTCCTTCAAACAATATATGACTCCATTTATGAACTCTGTTATACAGGATCACTATGTGTTGTCTAATAGTAAAGTTTTCCCAGAAGTAACAGAGTTTGCCCTGGGTAGGCCATTACAGGAGAAGGGAAAGCTGCACATTGGCAAAAGTCCCTTCTAACCCATTGGCTCCAAGGCCCGGGGGGCTAAATTGTTGGGTGCCTTGGACGTGGACTGTTGCAACAGGACTGTGCTGACATCATACATCCATGACATTAGTGAACAGCCCTGGTGTATATTGCTGAGACCTAGTTGGGCACTGATAGGGATGTGATCCTATAAACTGGCCTTCCTGGATTTTAGGTTTTAGAGCAGTTGTGAGGTGAAGGCCAGGGAAGAGGGCTTGCTGCAATTATTCAGAAACGCTGTAGTGGCCAGTAGCTCTGAAAGTCGCCAGTTGTAAATGTCTGCATATGAGGCTGGGCTTAGAGAATGCTGTTGGTGCAGGAGTTCTTGTCCATGTCTTGGAGCTGATGCTGGAGTCCATGAGGCTTCAATCTCTTATTCCCTAGGAGGAGTCTAGGCCAGCTTGTGATTTCATGACCTCCATAGAAACTATATGAGCTTATCACAAATACCTATGGCTCTGTCTCACTCAGGTGGATGCATGCTGGATCTATTTTTTACTTTGAAGCAGATGGTGCATAGTCTGAATACAGAGAACACTATCCTTTACCATGGTGAGACCACTTTCTGCTCAAACTGGTTATGAAACCCTGGATCATTAAGATGATCCATCCCAAACACTTGATGGATCTGAATTGTTTCAAAGCGTACTTAGGGGTTTTCCTGACAGTTTGATGAGCAGTTCCATCTTGCACCTGGAACACAGAGATTGCCAGAATGCTTGACAAGGTTGCTCATGCAAGGCCTTTCCTAGTCACCCATTCTGCACTGCTCTCTGATTTACAGAAAAGCTGTAGGAGATAAAGCAAGTGAACAGATGTCTGAAGTGATGATGGCATAAGACTAAGCATTAATTTGACCAGGCACCGGTATGTGCTCCCATCTGAGCCTATATGGTGGCAATAAGAGTAGCAAAGCATCTGTTATTTTCAACATTTGTTTTGTCAGGAGGTCTCCAGCTCAGCAGCCTGTTCAGGATGACCAAGACCCTTTTAGGGAAATGTGGTGGAATAACATTCCAACAAACCATCCAGATGAGTTTGTGGGTTTCATTGATCCATATATTTACTTTGATCTAGATGCCAACTGGGCAAAGCTAAGTGAGATGAGAGGGGTGAAGTCATGCAATATGACCTGGGATTCTACTGAGCTTATGGAACCCTAAAAAGTGGGTGTGGTGCTTTCTGCTATGACCCCCGTCACCTGTAGGCTTGATCTGTTCTGCTCCTTTCTCTCTTGGGCTAATGGCCAGGTAAGTGCAGCTGGAGCTTAACCATGATTTACAAAACCACAATGATGGGCTCACACAGTATGCTAAATCCAAACAAAATAAACCACTTTATGGTTTAAGGTGATGTGTGAATCCAGTCAGTGAGTCAAACTATCATGGAATATATTAATACTTAATACTCATGAAAGAAAGTATCTGCCACAGTTCATACTCTTTCCCCAAGAGAACACTATTATAGTGAAAGTGCTCACCAGTTTCTTGTCAATTTTTGCTTTGATGTCTCTGGCAAGTGTAAAAAATGCCTAAAATGAAAACAAGAAATACAAAAACGCATGACTGAAAAATGCTTTCCTGCTACAAGCTGCATCCCACATTGCTTTTGAACTCTTAAAAGCTATACTTTATTTATATAAAGAAAACCAAAATTAACTCAAACACAAAACAGATTATTCAAAATGAGCAAGGACATAGAAAACATTTGGCCATTCATTCGTAGACAGACAGCAATGTATGACCATAAACAACTGGGATGTGCAGCAGCTACAATTGCCAGAATCCCCAGTTGGCATAGTCAAGGCCCATTATGCAGTTACATATTTGGACAGCATTAGCTATATACTGTTTTTGTTATGTGACCATAGTATGTGCAGTAAGATTGCTAGGTCTTTGGGATTAAAATTACAGAATGTGTAAATGAGGTCAAGCAACATGCTTTCCAGAAGGCTGGTGTAACAAACAAGAAGAGGGGTCTAATTTCGAAAGACTTGAACAGTTCTCAGGAGTGCACTTGGCATCTGAGTGGCTGATGGCTATGCTCGAAGAACTGAGTATGGCCAAGGTAAAGAGGTAAGTGGGTTTTAAAAAATAACACTAAATGTGATTTAAATATAATTCATGTAATTATTCCAAACCATCCCCCCTTTCTGCTATATTAATATTATGGTTCATTGGAAGCCACTGAGTCCAGCCCCTTCTTAGCATTGGAATCCAAATCAGAGCATCCCCACAGAATCACATTCGAGCTATTAATGCTAGAAAAACCATTTGCCATTTGGACTAAAGACAACAGTGGTTTTACAAGATGAAGAGCCAATACTTACATTATCTATATTAATATTTGCCTTTGCACTGGTCTCCATGAATTTAATTCCATAGCTAATAGCCAGCTGAAGAAAAAGAGACCTCAGATTAATTGCATAAGACAGTATTTGAACATTAAAGTGCCCCTCTCTGTTGCTTCTTGGGAAACACAAAATCCTAACATGGTAGGAATACAAAATCCTATATACACAATCTGATGTGGGTGTATTAGCTTCAGTCCAACAGGTAGACTTCTGTTTCATTTAAAAATGCCTTTCACAAAAGCTAGAAACTGCTTCCATATTTGTAGTAATGACTACATTTCTAACAACAGAGAAAGGCCAAAGGCCTTTGAGGGTTCAAAGGTTAAGAAAGAAAAACAGTCATCCAAGTTGGGCCAACTATGCTAATTTAATGTTCATTTCTGCCTTACAACATGCCCCATTTGGCTAAATGTTCAAAGTGCTCAGTTCATCTCCACCCATATGCCATGTTCAGTTCAATGTCTAGACTAGGAACAAAAGGTATCAGAGAGAGGAGCTTATGTTGCAAAACAAAGATAGATTAGGATTTTTAACTCAAGTAGATGATATGAAATATCTGAAGTATTCTGGAGCTGCTATAGTCTTTTCGATGCTTATGATTTATGTATAATTAAACGTGAATTGGCATTTGGGTTTTTACTGCCAGCATGGCTGTTCTAATGTTTTGTTGTTTTCTGTTAGCCTAATACAACTTCAAATTAAATACAGAACCTCCTAAATTATACTGTCTGTTTCTCCACATCTGAAATATTTCCAGCTGCTCCCCTTTGAAGAAAAGTAGACAAAATCCAAAGCCCACAGTTCAGAACTGGGTAATCTTTACTGCTTTTTTAATGATCCCCTGAATTTCTAGATTCCAGGACCAACCTCACCTTTTCACCTTGCTCTCGGGAAACCTGCCGCTTGTAGTTCATGTCACATTTATTTCCAAGGATCATTTTTTCTACATCTGGAGATGCATGCTAAGAGAAAGAAAGTATCTTGAACTAGCTTATGACACAATTATCACAACATGGGTGGCATTTATGTACTATTTCTCCCCCACTGCTCAAGGAAGAATTGCCAGTGCATTCATCTGCTTTGTCATAAAGCTTTACATAATCCTAAAGTTATTTTAAAGGCCAACTAGTTCACTTCTTTGCTTCATATACCCATTTCATCCATGCTACTAATTTACAAAAGGAATCCAATTATAGGGAATGTTTTCACAATCAGATCTAGATTTCTCACAGCATGTGGTGCTATGCAGTCTTATTTAGATTGCAAAATATTAATAATGTTCCACAATACAGTTTTCTACAGTGATCAAAGAGACGTTATTAGGGAGAAAGTGCTTCAACCAGTTTAGGAACAAATAGGAAACTGCCCTATGACAAGAAAGATTATATGTCCATCTAGCTTTCAACAACCTGACGATATTCCAATGCTTTAGGTTCACATCTCCAAAATTCCAAATGAACTATTGGCTCTACTGGTTGTTAATTAATCTTATCTGTTGATGCAAGAAGTTGAACCTTGAACAATATAAACTTTACCACCTAGGGTTAATGTCTCCTAGATATCAGGAGACAAATACAGGGTTTCCCCCCTCCATTTTTAATACCTGTGACAAATAACTCAAAATCTGACACATTTTAAAAAAGCAGTTTTTGTTCACTTTAATAGAGAAAACATACCTCTTCGATGTTTCTGACCCAGTTCTGAATATTTTCAAATGATTTCTCATTGGTAATATCATACACCAGCATGATGCCCTAAAAAACGAGACAGAAAAGTACCCTGTTGCTTCTTTAATTTTTTTAGGGACTTGACAAGAAATGTAAATGAGATAACTGATGTAACTTAGCTGATAGCACTGAGAAAGCTTTTCCAAGGAATAGTTTGGTAGAAAGGAGTAGGAGACTGATCTGACTAGTGACTTGATGGGGGTGAGGGAGGGTAGGCAGATGAGAATTGTGTGGAAAGCATTCAACTTTGAGATTTAAATCTGATGCAAAAGGGAATAGGGAATCAGTGCTGAAACATAAAAAAAGAAATGATGCTATGGTAAGCAAAAAAGTAAGCTGAACTCTAAGCTATTAGAAAAGATGGAGGAAAAGACAAAAAACTAACAAGGCTTTAACATTGACTATAACCAAGGTTAAAAATATGAAGTAGCAGCAGAACATCTTAACAGATTGGAGGGGACTTTGAGGGAATCTATCCAGTGTTAACTCTCATCAATACAGTAGAGAATTGAACCTACCATTGCTCCTCTGTAATAAGCGGTTGTGATTGTCCGGAAACGTTCTTGCCCAGCTGTGTCCCTAGAGGAATGGGACAAAATATTGTTTCAAGGGGCTTTATAAATAATACTGCCTTTACACTACAGCACTATTTAATAAATCTTTGATGTCAGAAAGTGGAAGACAGAGATTTCTGCTCTATCATTATCCCAGCTTGAATTATTTTTAGGATGAAGGGCAAGGTGGAAGCTTGACAGCATCTGGGCCATTGGATACTCTGCTCATTCATAATCTTTGGACTATGAAGAGGCAGACCTCCCTAGGTACAGAAGTGGGATAAGTACAAAGGAACCAGTGAATAAATGGACAATAAGGCCTGTGGGAATACAGTAATGTCAGAACAGCAGGTTGGCTCATCAAAGACTCCTTTTGATTGTTCAATTGTGTCTAGATCCATGGCCTTAGCAGAAAGTATACAGTAATAAGATTCATAATACAAGCACTTGATGAGAAGGATGAGACAACTACAAAACAATGTCCAGTCAAAAAACCAACAATTTATCAGAAGGCAAATGGATCAGATTGCTCCCCTCCTGCCCATCCCAGGATATATCTACTACTTCAATTTGCCTTTATTTTTTCTTGGCAGGTTCAGACCAGTCTGCAGCCAACCACCATTTTTTTTAAACTTTCTAAGAACTTATATGGAATCAAAGATATTCTATATAAATATAGTGGCTAGAATTTGGCATTTTGTTTGAAGCATGCCATGTGGCATAAGAAGACCATCCCTGCTTTAGAGCAATCTTCCCCGATGTGGTGCTCTTCAAACTGTGTTGTTGTAAGCTCACCACATCTAGAAGCTGAGGATGGCTACATTAGATTTTGATAGAGCAAAATTGATAGCCCCTGAGCCGTCCCTACCATATCTGCAGCTTAATTTTCTTGCCATCGAGTTCAATTGTCCTGATTTTGAAATCAATACCTACAAAAGAAGATTATTTAGAAACACATTATGACATTTGTTAGTTTTCAAGGAATCAGAGCATCCTCTTGTTCTTTTTTACAGATGAAGATGATGGATGAATTACAGAAATTTAAGAGAAACTCTAGAGTAGCAGATCAATACAGTATCTCATCTACAGAAACTTAAAAACAAGGGCTCCACTATTGCTGCTTAATCATTGATAGTTAAAGGATGCTGCTTGTCATCCAGGACACAACATAAAGCCATCAAAAGTAGTACCATTTGACAGCCCTCACTACGAATTTGTTCAGTCATCTTTCAAACCTCATCTGACAGCAGCAAACTATGCTTTATACAAAGCAGTTCTGTGATAGATTGGGATAAGAGACTATTCAGTGAATGAAGACTTGAAAGCAGGATTTCTCTGATCTAATCTAACATTATATCTGTCACAATCCCATTGTTTTGTTTTGTTTTGTGCCTTTAATAGCTACTCCTTTCTCTTTTTCTTTCCCTCTAAAAACTGCAAAGGTAGATTACAATTTACCACCAATTTTTTGCCTAGCAAAGTGGTTCGAACTTCCACCTAGCAAGTCTTTTAAAAATAATTTACTACGTTTTTGTTACAAGCTTCCTCTACCAAATGACCAGTACGGAAGGCCTCTCTCCCATCTGAGCCATCCTCACAATCACCCCGAGAAAGCCAAACTCAGGGAGTTTTGACTGTTGGTGTGGGAACCCGGGTTACCCTGCTAGCTCATTGCACACGAGAACCGCTCCCTCCTTCATCTCCGCAACGTCTGAGGAGACGCTGCCTCTCGCCGCTCCCGCTGCTGAACAGCGGCCTGTTTCGCGCCCTCGCCCCTCACTTGCACTACGGGAGATGGGAGGGGGCGGTTGCCGTGGTAACGCAGACCGGAAGGGGCTGAGGTCGTGAGGGAGCAAGAGGAGTTGTCATAGCAACAGTGGCGTTAGGTGGGGTACTCCTATTGCCAGGCGGTGACGCACCGATTGTGGAGATGAAGGTGGCGTTGAAGGCGTCCTCGCTGAAGCGGAAGAGCGCGCACGTCTTGCCCACGCCGGAATCGCCGATCAGCAGCAGCTTGAAGAGGTAGTCGTACGTCTTCGCCATGTTCTTCGGCCCGGCGGCTCTATGGGGTTTGCTACCGGCCAGCAAAGCTGTCCATCTTCATGGAGGTGGAATTTCATTGGTCACTGCGCCTGAGATGTCATCGGGTGTCCGCCCTCCTCCAGCTTGGAGCCGGAAAAATTGGACTGAAAATCCCATTGGTCGGCAGACGCTCTTGACTGCAGCGGCGTCTGCCATTGGGTAATATGTCCTCACGGGCCGGCGGGCTCCAACATTGGCTGAATGGCCTTGCGTTCGTTATCATAGAGCTATATCTTGGAGGGAAGTTCGGCGGTACAAGCGTTCTGATCAATTACAGTACTCGCGTGGGATAGATGCCGCTCTAGGCACTACCCGCTCTCTATCTTCAGGCCTCGTAATTTTACAACGGAAGTGCAAGTGAAACGGATGTGAGCTCGGGAGGCGTTTGGGCGGACCGAGAGGCGCTGGGTTCGGCAGTTCTGGGGCTGCTCCTGTGCGGGCAGGTGGAGGATCGCCGTCATGTCGGCTAGCGCCGTCTATGTGTTGGATCTCAAGGGCAAGGTGTGTAAGGAGGGATGGGGCTTCCGTGAAACTTCCAGCCGTAGGGGCAGTCTACCAGCTGTAGAGTATAAATGTTTTCAGAGAGGTAGCTGCCTTGGTCTGTTGTATGAAAAATAGTAAAGGGTATTGTAAAGACTAACGGCTAAGGATGGTGTAAGGTTTTGCTTTAGTAGAAACATTAAATGCTAATTATGATTTAAAATAGTATGTTCAGGGAGAACTTCAAACAGGGTGGAGTACCAGAAAGTCACCATATGTCCACCTTTTCTTTGTCATCCCATTGGCTCCCTCATTAAGTCCCTTAATGCACCCCAGATCTAGCTTTGAATATCTGTCAATGGTCATTGATTGTCCACTGTTGAGAGAAGGAGGAAAGGCGAAATAAGCCACAAGTTAAGACTAAAATCTGTTTAATATTATTCTTGTTTTTGTATTTATATTTTGCTGCTCAATAAAAGGGAATTAAGCAGGGGCGGAGGCGGTATCTGTTTCTTTCTCCTTCTCTGAGGTTAGAGTTAAACCACTAATGGCAGAAAAACAGGGCTTCTTCTGGCATCCAGTTCACTGCTTCTAATAAAAGGAGCATAGTCTATCAAAACCTTCAACATGCATAGCTATTATCTTTGGTAATGCAGATACAGTTATTACCTGTATCTTATTTTCAGTATAATCCTGGAATTTTCACATCTGTTGAACTTGCTGAGCAGTGAACCAATTGTGAGAAGAGTATGGAAATAGGATGCCAAGACCTGTGGCCCAGAAGTTACTTGTGACTAGAAGCCCACTGTTCTTAGGGAGTGTACATACTATGTATCTAAATTAAATTAGCTTCTGGCTGTTATTTTTCCTTATTGAAACCAGTAGCTACTTAAGTCTAGAGGATTCATTTTGTATCAAGAAACAGTGAGGTTCTGGTACTGTATACTATTACTGAAAAGTGGTTTCTTTTGCAGCACATACAGACTTGTCTGAAATAAAGTTCATAAATTTTACTGTCTAAAAAACTGCTAATAGATTTTTCCCCACACCTACCACTTTAGGTTCTCATCTGTAGAAATTACCGTGGAGATGTGGATATGTCAGAAGTAGAGCATTTTATGCCTATCCTTATGGAGAAGGAAGAAGAAGGGACTCTCTCACCTATTCTGGCTCATGGAGGTGTTCGCTTCATGTGGATTAAACACAACAATTTATATTGTATCTTTTGCCAAAATAAGTTTTGGTGAGCTGGCACCTTGATCTAGGACTCCAGATGACTAAAGGAGGCAATTTCTAAGGAATCTCTTTAGCTAAACTTTCCACTTCAGACTTAATCTTAAAAGAGGCTGAAGTTAATAACTAAATTAATCAAAGGAAAGGCAACCAGTTTTCCTCATTATCCACATGCTAATCTGTACTTTGTTCTCATACACTTTTTACTTGTTGTTTGCTTTTTTCCAACAAATGCTTTCAGGCAGAAAAACGTTGTATGATTATATTGGAGAATGGCTGATCAGTTTTGAATTCTTTTGGTCACCCTGCACTAAATCTGGCCAGGAAAAAAGAAAAATAATTACATCAGCCTTTAAATTTCAGAATTGAAAGAAACTTCAAAAATAATCTACTCCAATCCCTGCTCAGGCAGAAAATTCCCTATTGCTGCATCCTTGGTAAACGGTCATTCATCTGCTTCTGTTCTAGTGAAGAAAAGTTGACTGCCTTCTATTGTTGAATATTTCATACTATGAAGAGAACATGAAAAGCAATTCTAAAGGTCTGTCTTCACTAAGATCTGTCTTCACAATGGCCAGTCAAACATAAATGAGAAGCACAGAAGCAGGAAATTCATATTAATGCTTTGTCAAATTTTCCCTGTAATTTGAATCCATTAGTTTTGACCCTATCCTTTGAAAACATTTGCTTATGTGACAATCCTTTAGATAGTTGAAGATTGCTTTCATATCACCTTAATTGTCTCCAGGCTAAACATATGCAGCTCCATATGTCTAGCCTGGTATCCATCTGGTATTCAGCCTCCTAATATTTTTTTTTTGCCTTTCTTTAGACTCTGTTCAGTTTGTTAATATCTTTTTTAAAATAGCCTGGAATTGAGCATATTATTCCAGTTTGGTCTCTCCAAAATAATACATTATGTCTATTTCTCATAATTTAGACACTGCACTTTTGTTGATTTAGCTTAGAAATGCACTATTACTTTAGTGAATGGTTTTCTAAAGTTAGGATATGTACTATAAAATCTTTTGACACAAGTTATTTAACAATTTGCAGGGCATTAAATAGGATGTTTATTTAAAAGGAAGCCAGTAAAATCTAAAATATAGATAAATAAAAAACAAATAGTTTGGAAATATGAATATCAATAAGCTCCTGAATATGATATCCCAGTGGTTGCCACTTCAAAGAAGAATGCCTGTGTCTCTCTCGTGTTCTCATTTCTATACAAGGTAGTTCAGGTGAGTGTGGCATTGATTCTGACATGACTCAAATTCTGAGGTTTTGTTTGGGGTTTATTTTCTAGAGTGTCTCAAACTTGACTAATAAATGACTAGAGTGGGGGAATATATTATACATTGATTGCATTCTCCTTTGCCCCTAGCCCTTTTTTTCAAAAGTTGACATTTGAAAACTAAGGAGTAATTGTGATTACATTAACAACTTTTCCTTTGAAAATAATTTGATAATGAAATTGGAATGCTACTGTTTGGGAATGTTGCATTGTTGTCTTGACCTTTTTATTTCAGGTCTTTTCTGAATATTTCAAGGAACTGGAAGAAGAGAGCATTCGGGATAATTTTGTGATCATTTATGAACTGCTAGATGAATTGATGGATTTTGGCTATCCCCAGACCACAGACAGTAAAATTTTACAAGAGTAAGTATGTGGTTTGGAGCTAAAAGACTCACATTTTCTGTATGTTTAATAAACCCAATTCAGGATAGCTAAAACTGTCTTGTTTTTGCTGGCATAATCTTAGTTTAAACAAATCTCTAGGGTAAAATATGCAGATATTCATGCTTTGAACATCTTGCCTGTGCTGATATAGATACATAACACAAGAAGGCCACAAGCTGGAAACCGGAGCCCCACGCCCTCCTGCCACTGTTACAAATGCCGTGTCTTGGCGTTCTGAAGGGATCAAGTACCGTAAAAATGAAGTCTTCCTGGATGTCATAGAATCTGTTAATCTTTTGGTATGCCTATGATTACAAATATTAAAATCATTAATATTGATAAATCTGTCCTAACTGCTATTCTAAAGGCAGGAAGAATGGTATAGGTGTGAGAAAGAGAGAGAGAGAGAAGTATCTGAAAGTGGGGGCCTGTTCAAAAGAGCCTCTCCAGATCTTACAGTCCAGACAAATTTATCATTCTACTGTTTTGACCTGGTTGGCAGCAGCTTTCCAGACTTTTAGTTAAGATTTCTTTTCCCAGCCCAGAATCACTCGGTGTTTAAACAAGAGCTCATTTCTAATCACTGTCCTAGAGTTCAGGTTTCAAAAAGGTCCAGCAAGATTCTTTGAGTCTCTTAATTTTAATAGTTATATGTTTTGTTGGGATGAAACACTGAACAATTGTAAGAGAATGACAAAGAGAATCCCAGTTATATAGAATCTCAAAGATTGATTGGAGCTTATTTTGTCTGCTTATTCACAGAGATCTTGTATCTATATTATCCTTGGCAGACAGTCCACCCAGGCTTTGCTTAAGTACCACCAACAAAAAAGACTCCATTATCCCTCCAGGCAGTTTATTCCTATGTCTAAACTGTTACAGTGTCTGCTTTTTGTATTCCTGCCTGGGGAGGTACAAAACAAACTTCTGAGTCTTCTGAGTAAGAGTGCCATAGAATTTGATCACTGCTTTTAGCAGAAGGAGACATTTGATGGTGCACTACAAAGCTCCAGCAATGGTGGACTTTTCCTTTGCTGGAAGTATTTAGTGTGAAGACTCCTAACTGATGATCAACTTCTGGATCCATTTCATATGTGCTGTTGCAAAACCAGATGCCTTGCATCCTCTGCTTATGATACATTTAATATCGGAGTGTCACTTCACATTTATCACCACTGAATTTCATTTTGTTAGTTTTGCCTCAGCGTTTTGAGTTTGTCAGTATTTTGAAATATGGACACTCCCCCTTCCTCCGCTCAATTTCAGGTTAGTGCCAATGGGAATGTTCTGCGCAGTGAAATTGTTGGCTCCATCAAAATGAGGGTTTTCTTGTCTGGAATGCCAGAGCTTCGCCTTGGCTTGAATGACAAAGTCCTCTTTGATAATACTGGCCGTGAGTATGTCTGCTTGTTATGGGTTACTTACTTGCCTCTCTTCTTCCCTGTCCTTGCAACCTAATTTTAAGTAATTGTCTGTGTATTTTTTAAAGGATGTAATGAATGCTTTAAGATGATGCAAGGCTTAAGACACCTATTTGGCCCCTTAAACCTTTCCCTCTAAAAGAAAAAAAAAGTGCTGAATTGTGGCTATGCTTGCTCCGTGGGGTGCTGGGAGGGTTTCTGGAGGCTGCAAATGGGGTACTAAGCATGTGGGCTGTGGGTTGCTAATCTCTCATATACAATAGCAATGTCATTCCCAGAGTCATTGTACTAGAATGGACCTTATGACATCATCACTTTGAAGTACTCTGTACAAATTGGAATTCTTCCAGAAACATTTTGTCTTAACCAATTTAATTCTGTCTTCCTGTTAATGTCTTCATTATGAAACTTAGAGAGAGATTCTCAACGTTTACAGTACCATAACCTCTTAAAATCATAAATGAATCTGTGAGTAAAATAAAATAATAAATAAAACTGCTGTGATTGCCAGGCAGTTTTGACATAGTGCTATGTTAGCCATGTCTCGCAACCAGCCTTGGGCCTTTTCTCTGCTTTGCCTGGGGGAGTCCCCTGTGGACTTGTCCAAGCACAGCAGGAGTGAGTTTTGACACCACTCCTGCTTTGCCTGCTCAAAAAACTGCCACCATTCTCCGAATTGGTCATGACTGATCAGTGCATCATCAGTCCCAGTATGAGAAGCCCTGGCTTACAGGGGGCAGGGTTGGCGGCAGTGAGTATAAATTCTGTCCTTTACTGTGATGTATCTGTTTTCTGCATGTGGATCGGGCAGGGGTACTCTTATGAGCTGGGATTCTCTGCCCCTGATCTATGCATGCTTTTCCTTTCTCCTCCTATAGCTGTGATTGATTACTGTTCTTTAGGAAGTTGGCCTAGGGTGATCTCAGCACAGAGCTACTCCTATAGCTTCCCTTTGTTGCTGGTACACTTTCCAAGCCAGGGCCTTCTCTTCTATCTCCCTGACAGGCGGCAAGAGCAAATCTGTGGAACTGGAAGATGTGAAATTCCACCAGTGTGTTCGTCTCTCTCGTTTCGAAAATGATAGGACTATTTCATTTATCCCACCTGATGGGGAGTTTGAGCTCATGTCCTATCGCCTTAATACCCATGTATGTGTGTTTTAATCTTGGGCTACAAACAGAATCCCCCCCCCTTTTTTTGCTCTTTCTTTTTAAGAGCTTGTGGCTTTAAGTCTTCATTTAGGCCAGATCTGATGACATCTGTTAAATACCTGGTGGGTGAAATGGGTGGAATCAATCAATCACTGCATGTTACATTGCTGCTATATATGATAGTAATAGAAGTGAAGAGATCCCAGAAAGGAAGTGCTGTAGTTTTGGGTTGCTTGCAGACCAGCCAAGAGCCAAATCATACTATGGGATTGGTAGCGGTGGGCGCCTTGGGGCTTTCCTCTTCTCTAAAAATAAAGTAGAAACTGATGAATCTTCTGGCACTTGGGAAGCCAGTGATACAGTAATGGTTTATCTTGTCATCTGCAGGTAAAGCCTCTGATCTGGATTGAATCAGTTATAGAAAAGCACTCCCACAGCCGCATAGAGTACATGATTAAGGTGAGCGGAACCCAGAAAACTTTTTTGGCTTTTTGTGGTCCATTGTGCAAAGCAAGACCTTTGGGTTTTGTTCCCAAAGGTTCTTGAGAGAAGGTAGCAGCCTGTTAAAGCACTTGGAAGGCAAGGGCTACACGTGCAGTGAAATCTCAGTGATTTCAAAGGGCTCATGATATCCATTCTTTGCTATATTTCCCCACTGAGCAGTCAGTAAATGTTGAAAGTACATGGTGTTAAGCAAAGGTGAGCAACCACAGGCTGCGTGTGGCCTTGGAGCACCCTTTACATGGTTAAATTATGATGGTGCACAAAAAACCCCCACCAAAAATAATAAAAAAGTAGACCCAAAATTTCTAGCCCTGCCTTTTTTGGTGGAAACCAAAAAGCCCACGCCTTTTAATTTAGTTCAAACTAAGCACAATTTATCCTGAGCTAGGCCTCTTGGAACAGCGCTGGGGGGGGCGGGGGTGACACCATAAAGAAATTAGAAATTACGCTTTGCAGATTACTCAGTCTGTTTGGGATTGTACTTTCAACACTGCAGTGCTGAGTAAATTGATCAGTTAGGGACAAGGGCCCACTGCAAGCTTGGTGTTTAAAACTTTCATATAACAATCTTGAAATCTTTTTAGGCCAAGAGTCAGTTCAAGCGCAGATCCACAGCCAATAATGTGGAGATTCACATTCCTGTTCCAAATGATGCTGATTCACCAAAATTCAAAACCACAGTTGGGAGCGTCAAGTGGGTTCCTGAGAACAGCGCCATTGTGTGGTCCATCAAGTCTTTTCCTGTAAGCTCATTGAACATGAATATATCTGGGGAAAAGGCCAAAGATATAAAAAAGGAGGCCTGTGTATTCTCTCTTTAAAGGAACGTTGTGTAGATAGTTCTTAAGCAGCTACTCTGCAGCTGCCTAATCGTTCAGAGCTGATTTCATTAGCTAGTTTCAAAGGGGCTTTGCCAGTTTAGTTTAGTTTAGTTCACTTGTATTGATCCCATTGAATCCTGTCTATCACTCTGGATAGAATTGCACAGATTTTGTTGAATGGATGGTCTTTGTTCAGCTTTTTGGTGCGAGAGGCCCTGAGAGGTGGGGAAAATGAATTCTGACTCTCTGCTGACTTGCAGGGAGGGAAGGAGTACTTGATGCGGGCCCATTTTGGGCTCCCAAGTGTAGAAGCTGAGGACAAAGAAGGGAAACCTCCCATCAGTGTGAAGTTTGAAATCCCATATTTCACCACATCTGGAATCCAGGTAAGCAGGCTATTCTTGTGTGTGCCTTGCTACCCTACATGGGATTACAATGATCTTGTCTACTCTCCATATGCTTCATGCTTCTCATTATCCTTTATCAGCCTGACCCCTATGAATGTGGGAAGCAAATGGACTTCTTCAGACTGAGTCTGAAGATTTGCTTGTGTTTCTTCTCTAGGTTCGCTATTTAAAAATAATTGAGAAGAGTGGCTACCAGGCATTGCCTTGGGTCCGCTACATTACCCAGAATGGAGGTATGTGAAAAGACACTTTGCCTATTAGGTAACTTCAGTGGCCCTGCACCCACAAAATGATTCTGGAAGAACAGAGGTGCCTCACCTAGTGTGTGTCACATGGTGAATGGATGGTTTCCATGTGCTTGGGATAAGAATGAGGACCAGATGGGGCCTGAACCTGGTTAAGTAACCAAGAGTTGTTAGCATGTGTTCCTCCTGGGATAAAGGTTGGGATGGTTAGTATATAGTTGAGCATAGTTTTTAGAATTAGATGATACTATGTAAAAACCATGGGGAAAGTGAGTAAGGTCAAGGGTGGCATGGTGATTAGAGTATTGGAGTAGGAGTAGGGAGACCGTGTTCAATTACTTACTTGATCAGGGAATCTTCTGGGTGGCTTTGGAGCAGTTACTCTTTCTCAGCCTACCCTAATAGTTGTGCTGTAAAGATAAAATGAGAGGCAGTTTTTCACATGCCACCTTGATTTCCACAGAAGAAAGGTGGGGTGCAATGGTAAGAAATGAAGAAGTTAAAAAATGGAGTGGAAGGGCTCTCTGTTTGTAGGTTGGTAGCTTCTCATAACTGAGTTCATTAAATTTTCTTTTCATTCTAGATTATCAGCTTCGAACACAATAATGTCAACTCAATTACTGCGGCCAAGAAAGTAATGAATTTCCCTGTTGAGAAACATGTTTGGTGCTTGAAGGTCTGGGCCAAGGTTGTCTTGCTGGTTGGAAGTGGAATCAGGCCGTGTCCCATATCCAGCTGTGCTTGGACCAGTGTTTAGTGCAGACCTCATGAATGTTTTTTCTTGTACACCCCATTCAGTGTTGTTTATGTTAGGAGTAGCTGTTGCCTTGAAACAAGGCCAGGAGCCAATCTTGGGAAAACTTGGCTGGTCTTATTTCTTTGCTTCAGAAATTGAGGTACATTAGTCCTTCTTTCTGATGTTTTGTATTAGCTGAGCTCCTCTTGCCAACCATATGCCGCCTGCTGCATCTTAATTCTAGTTTAACTCTGGTGACATCTTGAAATCAGTTTTGATTGCATTGCTGGTCTGTTTTTGCAAATGAATGATCTACAGCGGAGGCCCCAGATGACAGAGTTTACAAAATACAACTCATTTCACTGATGGCGCTCAGCTCAAGGAAGAGAAAATGAAGTTGGTGTCACAAGGTGTTCTTATGTGAGGGCAGGGTACTCCTAATGGATGTCTGACCTTGCCCAGTTCTGAATCATGTAGCTGAGAAGAACATCCTATTCATATATCTTTTTCAAGCAGCAGCTGAGATGACCAACATGCAAGTTAAGTCTTTTTGTGGGATCTGTAAGATGATCTGCTCCTCCATGAACAAAAATCACCTGTATATAGAAAACTTACCATGACACTGAGAAGGGTTCTAGCTTTTTTTGTCTTCATTCCTTGGAAACTTTCTGTGCATGGAGGGTCTTGCTTGGGAAGCATTCTACCAGCCCTCGCTAAGCTTTTAAATGGCACAGTCATCCAGGTGCTGCAGTATCTGATGTTTGTGAGAATGAGGCCATAATCATGGTGGTTCCTGTGAGAACTCCCAAGCTGGTAAAACAGATGCACAATGTTCTTGTGAGTGCCATGCCTCCCCTAGCCCAGCCCCTTCTGGGTGTATTGGGACTGGAATTCCCAGAACTACCAGCCATCTTGCCCCTTGCGGTTCCAACACGGCCTTTCCCCATCGGTTCCAACACATATCAGGAAAGGCTGTTCTAGCTGAACAAGCAAGTGCCCCCCAATGGATTTGGGTCAGGGATTCTGCTGCTTCCTTCATTCCACTTTTAGAGCAATCCGCCTTTGAGGTCTGCTCAGTGGCCAGTTGGCCTCTTCTGATAGAACACAAAATGTTACACATGCTGTTAAGCAACATATCTGTTTGCAATTTGGCTTTTTCCTTTTTTTTCTTCCAAAGAGTTGTGGGCTTCAATGTCATGATATATTTGCAAAGGCTACCTTAAGTGCTTGCTTTTTACAGAGTGGACTGGGAGAAGCAATAAGCGTGAATTTAGAAAGGTGATGTCCTAGACAACTTTGTGGCTAAGACCCTTTAGTTCCTGGAAAAACAGCCCCCAGTCCATTACTCTTAACAATGAAAAATCACTTGGTAGTTGAACAAATGCAGCAGTAATGGATTGATGGCACTTCTTACTCATGTATAGGTATGTTTTCCCCCTATAGTTGCACTTAAAAGGGGTGTGTTTGTGGTGGGGACCTCCTGGAGTTGCTAAACTGCAACTTCCAGCAGTCTTAGTGGCAGTAACTGTGAGGAATCAGCAGCACCTGCAGGATCTTGCTGTTTTTGTCAGAATGACGAAAGCGGTGTCCGTGTAGGATCACAGGTGCCACCCCTTTGGGATCTGTATGTGATGTCATGAAGCTCATAGGAAAGGGGCAGGGCTTGCACTGTGATGCCACAGCACTGCTTTCATCAGCCTGACCCATCTGCAAATGCTGCTGTAAGGAATGTTGGAAGTTGGAGTTCAGGGACTGGAAGGCTGCAGAACCCCTATCCATGAGAAATACACAACATAAGGATTGGTCAGGACTAGATGGGCTTACTTGCCAAAGTTAGATCTAAGACACTGTCATTTACCTGTTCCCTCCAGCTGCCAGAAATGTCAACATCATGCCTTTAACAGGGGCATTGTATTTGTTGCCTAAAAATCTGTTTAAAATAAATGAAATGATCAGAATTTTAGAAGGTCTTGGTTTTTTCTGCATTTTTTTTTTTATGGTGGGAATGAGAAATTAAGATGGGAAGATTAGGATTGTAAACCCAGTTCTGAGGATCTGGGAGTTTGGAATTTATCTTTTCTTCAGCAAAACCCTATGTAGTCTAGGAATGCTGTTTCCCTCAGGCTTCTGCTTGTCTGAATTTGGTGCCATCAAGCATGGTAGGGCCAGCAGTTTTAATCAAATGTATTTTTATTCCACGCTTGCTCCAAGGAACACGATTTGCTCCTTTCTCACTTTAATAGTTCTGTGTGGTAAAGAAAGTCAGGAAGAAGATAGCAGAAAAACACTTCTGTATTGTTCCCAGGAAAACAGAATGATGTGCTCATGTAGTCACCAGGAGTTTAGGTAGTGATAGATCTTGTCACCCAGATGTTTCATACCAGCCTGTGGACTGGTCTACCTTATTTCAGTCCTTCATTCTAACAAACCTGCAATACAAGTGATGTTATAATTTCTTGGTGACTGATGATTATCTGTTTAGAAAATGTTCTGTTTATTGTTTAAGCTTAAGTTGCACTAGACAAAATGGTCCATGCAACCACAGACATCAAAAAGGAACAAATAAAAGAGTACAATGGTTTAAAATGAAAGATTGATAAAACTGATGAAGGAACATGAGAAGTTCTGAATGTGGGACAGACCATTATTTGGTGGTGCCAGGTGAGGACCTTGACAAAAATTAGATGTGGTAGAAGTGAAAGAAAAGTAGTCAAATTACTGCAGGAATGGTTATTGCAAAAAAATGAGAGAAGTATCGTCTAATGTGGTCGGAACAAAACGTAAAGAATGTAGTCAGAGAGCAAGGAACAGTTAAGTTTTGAATGGGCAGAGAAAATGTAAAGCAATTTTGATGGGAATAAAAAAGTATAATCCTGTGAGTACTGATCTGAAAATTAGTATGTCAAATGTGTTCGATATGGAAAACAGAGTCAATGATTGCAAGTTACACATAAGTGGTAAAAATCTAGCACAAACAGTGCAACCTCTCATGCAAGAGACCAAATTTCTGTTGTGACTTGTGAAATATGTTATATATACAAATGAATGCTGTAATGTTAGGGAAGGTGCAGCTGATCAAATAAAATCTCTTTTTTTAAAAGGGGAAAAAACTGCATATGGGGTTATATTACCAAATTATCCTAGCCCCCCCCCCTTTTTTTTTTTGCAAAAATTACAACGTTCAGACACGAGACATATTTTATTCTTATCCAGGCCTCTTTACAGTATTACTAATTATGAACACTAGTAAGGCTTGTTACTTAAACCGGAAAACACCTATTATACAAAGGGCCGAAGGCATGCAAAGTTTGGCTTGTAACTGTAACCGCGCAAGTGATTACCGAGTAATTTGTACAATTCACGATACATGTTGCAGTAAAAACTTGTCATTTCTCTGGTTAAATCCTTCCATGAACCAGGAAGATCAAAGTTGTAATTGTAAAGGCCTCTCTGCTCCTTGAAGGAAAATAACGGAGTGTGACTGTGTGGCAGGTATGTGGTAACCCCCCCCCCCCCCTGTTTTTCCTCTCCCCCCCTCTTCTCTCTCCCCCACACCCCTGACGCGGACGA